AATCGAACTTTCCGTGATTGGGCCGATAAAGAATGGGCCGAAAACCGCAGAGGACCCAGGTCGATTGGTGTAGGAAATTCTGCTGCCCTGGTTCCTTACCCCGTCATGAACCCAGATAGCTGGCAGGAAGTCGTCGACGCATATAAAGCCCAAAACGTCGCCGATTATCTCCCAAGCACATACAATGAGATCAACATCAAGGGATACGAAGCGCAGCGTGCGGTCATGTCCACCTCATTGGGTCTCAACGACAACGCATTCACCGAAATCCCCTTCTCCGGATCCGGCTCCGTTTCTCTCGTCCTGACTAGGCCGCTTAGCCGCGGAACCGTTCTGCTAAAACCAGATGCTATCTACGACGAGCCGACCGTCGACTACAATACCCTGATCAACCCCACAGACGTCCAGGTACAGGTCGATGCGGTCAAGACTTTCAGAAGGTGGATGAACGCTACTAGCATGCAGGTCCTTTCTCCTTCGGAAACAGCTCCTGGAAAGACCGTTACCACCGATGAGCAAATCGCTAACTCACTCAGACGAGGTATGGGCCCTAGTACTGCCCACGGCTGCTGTACCGCAACTATGATGCCCAAGGAGAACGCAGGTGTTGTCAGCCCAGAGCTTCTCGTGTATGGCGTGACTGGTTTGAGTGTCGCTGATACCGCCGTCATTCCGTTGATCCCAGCAACGCACATCTGCGCTACAGTTTACGCTGTAGCGGAGAAGGCGGCCGATCTCATCAAGAGCAGGCGGTGAAAATCTGTAGATAATGTCTGATGATTGTTTTTCCCTTCTCTCGCTTTTGTACTGTACGTATAGTAATGAAATATGTTGTTTGCTACATCACCAATGCTTATCTCAAATTCAGGGTTCGGCACACAAGTCTTTTCACTCACCCCCGATGATTTTCAGAAAACAGGATCGCGCACGCAATATTCTTTCCACCAACCTGTCAGATTCCCCAGATCGATGGTACCCACGTTCCGACCTCTACTACCGGGATAAACGAGATTCTGGTATTACAGCACGTTTTGACAGATCGATCTCAGGATCCGTTCCGGTTCTGGGTCATGGGATCTATGTTCGGGCCGTTCGGTTTCAGGGCCGGTACTGGGGAACTGGGATATTTCTGTTCGGTATGAAAGTCGAGGGTGCGCAATAGCCGGTGTCATGAGGATGGCGGTGTATCTATCATTTGCGCTGCCTCCATACTCACTTAACGGCAGCCACCCCATTGATAGATAGACCAAACTTGTCCTCGATTAATGCATGGATAACATCATTGCCACTGCGCGTTCTTCTGAACAGTACAGAGCCATGCACACACATTCATCCAGCGTAAAGCGCCCCCCTTCTCTCCAAAGTTTTTCCGGTCTCAAGTGCCGAAGGGTTCATTTAAGCTTATTTACACCATCTCCAATTACTTCGCATGTATATTAGCCGAGGGGAGTTGGATATGCACGTGGGGTCGGATACATGTAAGGTATATGATCGTACATATGCGAGTTTTTCAACGCGCGTGCGAGTTCTGGAATACGCGAGAAGGTACCTATTTTACCTATTTCCATTTCCAGCGGTGCATCGTGACATTGATACCTATTTCCTATTTTAACTGGACACTGTATTTGATATTTGATTGATCATAGGCTGTTCGTCGATTCCGCCGATACTGTGGGTGCCCGGTTGTTTTTCTTCTGTATTGGGTTGAGGACCTGACTTTGTAAGTCTGGAGCTGGTAGATCCATTTCGAACGATGTAAGCTGCAGCATAGGTCCGTCACTACGAAGCTAATCATTCATACTTATGGCCCCTTTAAGATTGCATTCAAATCCATGTCACTACCGCGCTTTGATCAGTGGACCATTTTGGATAGGGTGGAGATCTTCCTGCGTATCCTCTACCCCACTCTCTTCCTTCAATATCTATAAGAGTTCTCTTCTAGAAGTTACACATTAGAAGACAGTCAAAATATACCATGAAGTGAACTCGAACATGCATTGAAACTGCAAACACGATGGCCATCGTGATCCCAAACCCGAATCTACAATCCACAAGCCCGAAAATTTTAAAAAGCCAAACCCGCTCCGTATGCATGAACTTAAAGCTAAATATTCAAGGATCCCCAAAGACAAAAACGCTCTTCCCTTTTCTATACCCTTCAAGGGTTCCCTGTACAGCATCTATCAACGTATCTCCCTTAGTCTCGTGATCCCATTTCACTTCGTCAACAGGAGTATCCTTAAACTTCCCTTCCTTCATTAAACCCAGAATCTCTTCAATGGTCTTTTTACGAGCATCAGGATTTTCTTTACCCCATTTACTCACCCAGAATCCGCCAAAGTTTATATTCTTGAAAATGAGCGCTGCTGCTGGCAGCGCAAAAGGTTGTTTAGACATGGCGCCGTAGGTGACCATATCGGCGTTAGGAGAGAGATATTTCGCTAAGTTTGTCGCAGTTTTGCCACCAACGCAATTGAGACCGAGACGGATGGGTTCACGACCTTCGTCTGTCCAGCTCATGACTTTCTCCTTGAATTTCGGTGCTGCTAACTCTGTATCTGTAACCACGACATCTGCTCCTAGCTCTTGCAACTCCTTCTTCAATTCTTCAATGCCCGAATCTCTATCCCTGACAACGTTGATGCTCTTCAGACCCCACAACTTTCCGAACTGTATGGCAGACCTTCCAACGCCGCTGTTCGCGCCATTTTGAATGAACCACTCGCCAGGTTGCAATGACGATGACGGATACTTGAGCATTCGATATGCTGTCGTAGGGTTTATGCTGACCGTACCAGCTTGTATTGGCGTAAGACCGCTCTTATCTGCAATAGGGAAGACCGAGGACTCATCCGTTTGTGCATGCGTTCGCCATGTACCGAATGATGGGCCTTTCATGATGACCCAGTCTCCTTTCGCGACTGTCTTGACACCAGAACCCACTCCAATGACTTCCGCGACACCTTCATTGCCTCCAACTGCGATGGGGGACGATGTACTTAGTGATGTCGTGAATACGGGTTTCGAGGGATAGACGCCTTGGATTTGATTGATGTCTGCAGGATTGATGGGCGAGGCGAGGAAGCGAAGGGTTATAAGTGATCCGTGGGCAGGCGATATAGAATGCCCGTGGAGCTTGAGGACTTTCGACGGCTCTCCATGCTCTGCAAATGTGAGAGCTTTGGCCTGTTCGTACCCGTAGGTCGAAATTGTTCGCGGTGCTGTAGCGAGTTGACAAGGGTGGAATTTAGGACGTGCCGTTAATATCGCAGGTGCACGTTTCGAAGCCATGCTTTAGGAAGCGGATGGTAACGACAACTGAGCACCATGCGTGTGCTTTATCGAATGTTGTTGAGGTTACTATGACGTTGGAGCTGGCCTTTGCCGAGGTGATGCCGCGATGCAGGGAGATTTCGTTCCAAACGGCGGTAGGTACGTTTGGATTTTCAATATCCTCAATCGACATTTAAACATAGGCTAACTTTGTAACTTTAGAGGAGGACGTACAAGAAAGCTGTACGATGTTGGAATTTCCATTTTTCAAATCTCATCCCGAGGTACTGCATGTACTATCGTTGGTATGTATGATGTTAGAGGATGGACTTGACGCTCCTATGACCAGGAGTGTACAAGTCGAAAGAGCATGGAACGTTCACCGGCTTGTACAGACGTCGTCGAGGAACCCTGAGGGATCGAAATTTCGATACCGCTGTTGCATATACTATTCACGAATTTGCTGTACATGTACGGCTTCAGGTTACCACCTCCAACGCCATACAGGGCGGTTCTGGCCGGAACAAACCTCCCGATAAGCTCTAGGCACCTACTTGGGAGATTTGCGGTTCTCTTTCTCCCAATAGAGCCTGGCTAGGGCCTCTACGTCGAGAGGTTCGTCCTGGTCAGCGTCGTCCCATACGGCGCTGGAGTTGGTACTGGAAGGCTCCGAGATGTCTGCGGTTGCATTTCCCTTCATAGCGGCGAGAATTGCAGCAATACGTTTCTTGAGAGTACGTAAAATTGCCATTTTGCTATGATGAAGTATGTATATGATGATAGGGGTATATAATGGGGTTGTGATAGTGTGTGTGTATGTGAATTTAGCTGACGATGATAAAGTTAGTCAAGTGTATATAGCAAATGTATAGAGGGAGGGGCCTTCTTATAAATTTCGTACAGTAGAGGTTTTGACTGTTCGCTTTCGCAGTTAGAACCTCAATCACCGCTACCGTGGGTACGATTAGCTGCTACCCGTAGATCCGTCTGATATTGTTCGAAAATCTCGAATTAGCGATTCGCAAATTCTGAAAGTTCGGTAAGTACGACCATAAGATATCTCTTACGGCCTTTTGCACCGAGGAAGCGGAACCTATTTTAACATACGAAAGCACACTGTAGAGATCTAGATCCATTCTGCCGCAGCTGTACAGCAGAACTGATACCAAGTGAAGTCGAAGACAGCAGTCAAGTAAACCTTGAAGTGTAAGACCGATCCCACATGAATAAATCCAGTACCATATACACAAAAAAATAGTACCTTCATATTTTACCCAATATCCCAATCATACACAACCCCTAACGCCCATGTAGAACCTAATCAAGATTCCGATATCAAGCTCACCAAACCGAAAGCACCCTATAGTATAATCCATTTCATACTGCTCCAGTGACTAATTCTCCCCATCACTATATCCCTTCCTTCGTGGTATACCAGCTCTCATATCGTACCACCCCTAAGTCCGGTCCACCTAGTCCTCCGATCCACACTCCCTCAGCGCAAGGTACGACTCCTGTCCCATCGCCCTTCCATATAATTTCAACCCGTCCTTAAGCCACCCCCAAAACAGCAGCTCGTACCTGCAAGTGGTAACCCACCCAACGCACCCACCGCACCTTCCCCATCCCGTCTCTCTCCTGTACCAACAATTATTTTTTCCTGGGCTAGCCCCACATCCCCATACCTTACATACATAAGCGCGGAATCGCTTTCCAATAAACCGTACGGTGGCATAGTATAGTGGTCAGTACGAGACGTTGTGGTATCCTCAAAATCGCTCCGTCTAGACCTGAGTTCGATTCTCAGTGCCGCCAGTTCCTTTTTGTTTTCTTTCTTTTTTGGTTTTCTGTAACCTAACATCCTTTCTACCTCATTTCAATTTTTATTTCTATTCTTTTGGGGAAAGGGGAAAGAGGAGGGGGATTATATGATGTACAATAAGGATGAAGTCAAATTTTAATGGGAGATGGATGTTCACGGGTAAAGGAGTCCACAGCATCTAGTTAGGTTGGAAATCGTTTTTACGTTGAATTATATTGTATTGTATGTAGGAGATGGTGGTGTAAAACACATTATCACTAAAAATAGAGCAAGGCCCACCAGGCGTTTTTACACATGAGATGATAAATAGACATGGATAGGTAGGGTTTGGCGTAGCCCAACTCCGCAGCCGCATACTACCTAGACCCAAGGAGAAAAAGTTTTTAGACCGGGCGATTACGCCGGGTTATGAGAGAAGCAATATGGACTATGGAATGAAGGAAGGGTATATCGGTAGGGAGGAAAACCGAGAGACCGCAGTAGATGTCTTTTGCTCTTGATCGAGGGAATAATGATAAAAGAAGATTGCGGGTGTAGTCATGAGACTGAGAGTAAGGGAGCGATTCAATATGGCTCATGTCCTCATCAGCAGAAATAGTCTTTCCTTCTCCAACCCGGGAATACCAACACCGATCATGCACAGATGCTCAGTTCTCCAACATCCAAGAAGTCATGGGGTATACGAAATCCAAACGAGCGCGCAAATGCCCAAATGGCAGCACTCTTCACGAAAAGCTTTTCCCGACCCAGCCCATCCTTTTCGAGCAGACACATCCTACAAAATCTCCTTCCTTTTGTAAAGATCTCCAACCCATCCTCTCAATATTATTTTATATCCTTGAACAAATCCTCTCCCAACCCGATCCCGTCCAACCCCGTACCCAACGCCCCTATCTCCGGCAACTTCGGCGCCGGCGGTCCCTTCTTTACCTCCTGCTGCATGCTCACACCCTGCCCCTGTACCTGTCCTTGTGCCGCGACCACTCCATCCCCTCTCCCCTCATACACACTGCCCTCCTCGATCTTGGCGCCGAAAAACCCACTCTTCCGCCGCCCAAACCACCCGCCTCCGCTCTTCTTCCTGCTCAGGTTCCGCGCGCCCGCCGTCCCCGTCGACGCGACGGTGGCAGGGGAGCCAGGGCGGCCAGCCTGCTGCGCTGAAGACCGCAGCGAGTCGGAGCTCGAGAGGGAGCGGAGGGAGAGGAACTTGCGAACGGAAGACGGACGGCGCTCTGTTGCTGTTGGGCTGATCGGGCTTGCTAGGGTCTCTGAGGTCGGGGAGGCGGGGAGGGGGACGGATTCGGGGGATGTGGTGGTGAGGTGGAGGCCTGTGAGGGGTTTGGCGGCGTGTTTGGCGTCTCCTTCGAGGGGGGTGGTTGGATGGGAGGAGAGAGGGCCGCAGCCGGGTGTTGGAGGACGGCCCGGAGTGGAGGGGGGGGAGTGGAGGGGAGCCGGGATGGAGGTGCCGGCCGTGAGGGAAATGTCGATGGGGGTTAGGGTTGGGAGTTGGAATTTCGGGGTGGTGTTTGGTCTGGACATTTTGGCGGTAGAGAGGTATCAAGATGTTCGATATCTATTGGAGGGATAGACGCTGATTGCGATAGTGGTTTATATTTCGAATTGTGGGGAACAACTGTTCGCTCAGGGGGTATAGGGCAATGCAGAATACGAGTGGAAGAAGTGAGGATCTCAGCGCAGAACAAAGGTAGTATGGCGCAAAGAACACTGTTCAAAGTAACGGTGATGACGAAGGTATAGTGGAGCCCAGTAATGAACGAGGAAGTGTAGTCTCAGTAAAGAGCTACAGGCGAAAGAAGCACGTTGTACAGTATAAGGATTATTTCCATGAAGTTGCACGGGATGGACAAGAGGTTAGAAAGAAAAACAATAATGGAAACTAAGGGTAAGGTAGTGGGCCGACTAAACCGACTAGTTAGAAATATACCGTTTCGAAACATCTGCAGGGGAGACGCACGGCTGGCTCTGGGGTGCCCGCACGGGAAGCGGAGTGGGCAACGTCCCCGCTAGATACCATTTTGGGACATGGCTAGTCAAGGTATTGAAAAAGTAAAGTGGGCTGTAAGAAATGAAGAGTGAAACAGAGACAGTAAGGTAAGGTAGTGAAGGAAACCTGGAAGAGAGAGAAAATGTACTTGGAGATTGAAGATCGGAAAATGAAACTGAGGATCAATTATCGTCTGTCGTGCCTTCCAATCCTACATTTCCAGATCAGGAAGCTCACCACCGACTGCCGACAATTCTAGAAGTACGACTCTCCCGTCAAGGACCAGCTCACAGATATTAATTACAAGGTGAGCATCCATCATCAAATCATTCTTTTCTGATTCATATCATCCTCTATGACTATCTCATGCTATCATGCTATCATGCTGTCGTATATACTACAAAGTAACCTATGTAAAAGAAGCGGAATGTTCTTACGTTCAAGCCGCATCCAAAATCGTCCCGAACTCCCCCATAGGCCACATTCATTAATCCATTCAATGATCGTCATCAGTGACAATTTGCGGCTTCACCATCCTCCCGCTCAAGGTATCAACAATGTCCTTCAGTCCCAACCAGAACTCTTCCTTCGGTCGTCTCTCCTTCCAGTCCGTTTCGTGTGCCTCGACAAGTTCCATTGGGCTGAATGTGACCTTCGCGCCCTTGATTCCGATGACAGTAGAGCTCATAGGATCGTCACATATCTGATCCTGAGTCTTTCCGGCAAACAATTCCAAATGTTGCAAACTCTTGACACCGAACCTCGTGGCTCGAACACGGTCCATTGGAGATGGCGTTGTACCCTGCTGGAAGTGCCCCGGGATACCGCTTCTAGCTTCAAAGCGACCCTTTGCTTCTTCCTTGATAATGCTAGTGATGACTTCCGTGGTATACGTACTCGAAGCCTTCTCATTACGCAGGATGATCTTGCCTGCACGCCCCTGGCCTCTGTCTTTTGCAAATGTTTCTCGCAAATGATCGATATCTCTATCTAACATCTTAATGTTGATACCTTCTTCAGGGGTGTAGACTGAGAAGGCTCCTATCGACAGACCCGCGAGAGTAGCAATGTAGCCGGAGTACCCACCCTGAGTTTCGATGACGAACACACGTCTTCGGGAAGATGAAGCCGATTGCCTACAAGCATCACAGAATTCGATAAGGGCGTTCAGACAAGTGTCACTGCCAATAGAGTATTCGGTTCCCGGTACGTTGTTGCTAACCGTAGCAGGTAGGACACACATGGGGATCTTAAACGCGCGGTGATTCTCCCTTTCTTTTCGCAATCCGGCTGCAGCTGCGAACGCTTCAAAGCCACCGACCATAAACAGAGCTTGGATATTGTACTTTTCGAGAACGTGGGCAACTGTCTCATAATCTTCTGACGGTAAACCACGGTTGGTACCAATCTCCGAGCCGCCTTTGCTAGCCCATGATTCTGCGTCTAGCCATGAGATCTCTCGTACTGCTCCCAATGGCTTGTCTGAGTGATGTCTAATAAGTCCCGGGAATCCGTTGTGGAGTGCAATTGGGGTGTGTCCTCGAGCCAAGCAGTATGCAACTGCAGCACGTGTAGCTGCGTTTACCCCACCGGCAGGTGCTCCAACATGGATGAGACCTACCCTCATACGCTAGAGTAGTTGTTAGATTTGAGCGAGTGACATTGGTGACATAACTGACCTTTTCCGGGGGTAACAGAAGTTCTGGCTTCTCTGCTGAGGTGGTGATCATATACGCTGCATAGTACTCGGCAAACTCAGCGTCTCTGAGGTGCATGGCTCTTTCAAAATCCTTTGCTTTGATCGCCTCGGTAACTTGTTGGGTGAGCTTGACAGCTTCTAGTAGCGGCTTTCTGACAATCTTGTTCTCGATAATGGAGATGACAGGGCTAGGGGTATCCGGTGTGGCTTCAAGGACTGCATTGACTGCTTCGGCACCCTGTAAAGTCGACAACATGCGGTCATATGCGCATGCTTGTCCTCCTCTCTGGACGTGTCCCAGGGTTGTGATACGGGTGTCTAAATGTAGGTCATTACATAGCACGTCTTTCACCATTGCTGGCGTAATCTTCTCGAGGTTCAGATCATGGGCACCCTCTGCGACAATTACGATAGTCTTTCTCTTCCCGAGTTTTCGGTGCTAAAATCGTCAGTATAAGGATTAATTCAATGGTGAAAGAACACTTACCTTTCCAATAATCTTGGCCATTTCCTGTCTCCAGTTCTCACTTGGTGGTTTTTCAGGGATGAATATGAAATCGGCCCCACAGCTTACACCTGCCATCAAAGCCAACCATCCGCAATGTCTTCCCATGACCTCTATGACGAAAGCTCTTTGATGTGAAAAAGCTGTAGCATCGATATAATCCACTGACTCACAAATTCGTCCCAGTGATGAGTAACATCCAATGGTGGCATCGGTCGAAGACATGTCGTTGTCGATAGATCCAACCAAACCGACGATGTTCAGGTGCTTGAAAGGAGAAATCTGCTCAGCAGACAATTCACCGTTTTTTACGAGCTCTTCCAGGAGACCCGGCCATTCTGCTCTGAACTTATCGGCACCAGTCAAACTGCCGTCACCACCGCAGATGACTAGAGCATCGATGCCCTTCAACACCATGTTCTTCGCAGCTTGTAGCCGTCCGGGACGTTCAAAGAAGGCTGCACAACGAGCTGTCCCGATCAATGTGCCACCTTCGCCTAGGTAACCACGGACATCGGTCCACTTCATCTCCTTAATCATATCTCCTCCTTTTACTAGTCCATCATAGCCTTCATAGATAGCGTAGGCTTCGCAACCTTTGGCGATTGACATTCGAACGACGGCTCTGACAGCACCGTTCATGCCTGGGGCATCACCACCGCTAGTCATGACCGCAATGCGTCGTTTCTTCCCCGGGAGGGGTGGTGGGGCTTCACCGGCGCTCATATTGAGATGTTCTTCTGTTCGGGTGTAATATTTTGGAAATGTAGTTCTATTGAACAAA